ATAGATAGATAGATAGATAGATAGATAGATAGATAGATAGATAGATATATATATAGATAGATAGACAGACGGACAGACAGACGGACAGACGGACAGACAGACAGACAGACGGACAGACCGACGGACAGACAGACAGACAGACAGACAGAGAGAGAGAGAGAGAGAGAGACCGAAGGAAGGAAAGAAAGAAAGAAAGATAGATAGATAGATAGATAGATAGATAGATAGAGAGAGAGAGAGTGTAAGTAGCCTCCACCCAGGCCACGGCCGAAACTGGGCAGTGGAAGGCGCGACCGATGTCTGTGCCGTTTCAAGACGTTTCTCGCAGCCACCGCCAATGACTTGTCGTGGCAGGTACCGCTGGAGAGAGCTTCGACATCATTTTTGACAAACAGTCCATAATGGTCAAGAGCGAAATGGTGGAGTGAGAGGTTGTGGTCGCAGAAGGTGTACAAAGTTGCCACGCAGAGGACAACTGCTGCGTCATGAGGCAAGAATCGGTCGTAGCAGCTGGAAAAGATGTACACGATGGTTGCTGCTCGTGCTCGACACGACTTCTTGTGGATGGGGGGAGAACTCGTGGGACTTGTCTGAAATAATAGACCGGAATAGCAAAAGAAACACATTGAATCAGAGGGGTTAGGGAGCTTTAGATTTTGAGTCAGATCGCTCATAAACATGCCCACTGAATCTTGAGTGGCCAGGGCCTAAAGAAATTCTACTGCCACCGGGTTGCTGCCGTGCCTTTGATCCGCGCCAGCCCGCCTCTGGAGCCGCGGCTGTTCGGCTGTGGGGCATTGGCGACCATAGACAACATCATTCTTCCTTATTAGGTGTGAAAGAATATCTTTGAGGTCTTTGCAGTAAACCTCGTCCTGCTCCCCATAGCGATCGAGATTGGCTGGATCAGCTGGCAGTTGTAAGGCAGTTTCAATCACTCTCTTGATCTGCACCTCGGGATGGCCCACATGCTGTTTGTGAGGAGAACTTCTGTGAAGAACGCAGAAGCCGAGGCGGCCTGCTGGCCCCACCAAGGGCAATTTGAGGTATCTAACCTTTGAAAGTGTAAAGTAACCTTTGACAGTGTCATTTCAAAAAAGGATCCCTTTGGGATCCTGTGGGTGTCGTTTTAGGGGTCTATGTTGCTCTCCGTGGACTTAACCGGCCGCATTCTGGCATTCAAGTATTTGACGGTCCATCTTGTTTGACAATGATGGCAGTGGAATTGGCCAACTTGCTCAACAAGACGGACAATTTTCCTCTTCAGTGTCAGGGAGAGGGTGCCACAATGGAATGTCTTGACTTTGCTGGAAACCTCTTTGGCCAGGGCCCACTCAGCGCAGCCGGGCCTTTGAATTCCAAAGAGTCTCGTGAGGAGCCAAGATGTTTTGGTAGGTTGGTAGTAGGTTGGTAGTAGTAGGTTGGTAGGGGATCAGGTGCACCACTCACACGTGCGACGCACCACTGATGTGGAGGTCGGTGGTGCAAAAAGAACAACGTTTGCCAGTTTTCAACGCATAAATCAACATGGGATTGTTGGCGAAGGGTGGTACATTGCTGTCGTCAGAGCAAGCAGGGGTTTGCCCACAAGGAGATCTTCACAATGAGGGCCTTCTCTCGATCATTGAGGCACGCCAAGATCGTTTTCTTTGTGCTCGCTTTTGGGTACCCGCTGAATGTCGCGCCCTCAGAGGTCTCAGCGGTGCCTGCTTGAGTAAAGACTTCAGCGCTCAATAATTTGATGTTTGTGGCTTATTTGTTGCAGTCCCTTGCATTACAGAGATCAGTGCTTCACCGGACCTGCCGACGGCCTCACATGGTTCCAGCTTCACACAGTAACCAACCATCTCTCCAAGTGCATCCCTGGGACTAGGGGACAGGCCATTTCAATTTTTCAGAAATGCTTTCCTCCAGCCTCCAGCCAATAGCGGCTCAATAGCGATGGCCTCCAACCTAATAGCGATGGCCTCCAAGCTAATTCAAGTCTTTGGAAACTATTCATGTGCATGCTGTACCTGGCACGCCTGCTGCTTTTCGTGCGGGTGCTGGCAGCTGCACAAGACAGGACTGATCTAAATGGGACTGCGACTGCTGGACTGCACCGACCTCTTTTCGCACCACGTGCATCGGTTTCACTGCGCGACAGTGGCCATAGTGCGGGGACCTGCCACTGGATTTGTAGCGACTACCTATACAATCCCGGTGTTTGCGACCTCGAACTGAAGGATTCCACTCAGCTGGTCTTTGCAGTCGCTGTTTGATGACGCACGAGCAAGAGCCCAGAGCGGGTCACTTGGACGGCGCAAGAAACCAAGAGCCGGGAGAGATGGGATGAATCAATGGACAGACAAACTCAGACAAAAGAAAGACATCATTAAACTTGATGCATCATTTATCTTAATCAGGTATCATAAAATGTGACAAGCTTGATGCAGAAAGTGCTTTTGAGCTGACACCTGTGACCGCTTCGACATCATCCCTGACACCTGTGCCGCAGGGGAGCTGAGCTTTGCAGAGAGGACGGCCTGAACTTCTTCTTGGTGCGCACTTCGCAAGGCCCACAGAGCCACTTGCCCTTTTGGCAATCCTTTGTGTCTTTTGGTGAGCCTGGGACATCATAGGCAATGGCAGAAGGAGTTTGAAGACAGAGGGCGTTGGACGGCGCTGAAGCCAAGGATTCCATTGCGACCGCAAATCGTTTGTGTTTCAAACTCAGCCGTTTCAGCAATTTTCGCCTCATATTCGGCCGAAACAGCGGAAGTGGCTGAAATGTCAGAGACGGTTGGAACGACGGACGGTCAAAAACCGACCCAGATCCAGAACGAAGTGGCCCTTCTTAGGACAAGAATACCTCTCCCTGGCGATTGCTGATGAAAGGTCGCACAGACATGATCTCAAATGATCTGACTTATGATTGGACTCCGAGTCCAACCGGTCGTGAATTCCCCATCCGAGGCTTGTCGGCCTTGGAGCTGTCTGCCATTGATGCCGTCTTGTTCCACCACCCGTTCCTCAACAGCTAAGATAGAAGACAGCAGCGAGGGGATCTTGCACCTGTTGGAGACATTGTAGCATAACTGCAGTTGCACATCGAGGGTCCTGAGTCTGATTTGTTCAGAGCTTGGGGGAGTGCAACATGTTGACACGGGAAGGACCCACCTTTCAAGTGGACTGGATTGGACTGTTGTCTGAGGTCAGCCAGAGTGGTTCTGCTGTTGGTGGGGGTGCAGGCTGAGGTTGGACATATCCTGGCACCTTGGCCACGATTTGTGGACTTAAGAGAAGTCTCTGGGCAACCAGAGTTGCAGACAGCAAGATCACAAGATCTCAGTCTCACATCGCAAGCTTAGAAGATGTTGGAGTGGGTGGTTTGGTACGGCCAACTCAGGATCCGTATTGGAAGGATGGTTACTGCGTGGTTCTCTTCCCCTTGAGAATCGACTTGGTGATGACGTTGGTCTATCGGGTCGTCTCACCCATGGAGAGGTGCCTTTCTCCGCCCGCGGGAAACGGCCGAAGACTTCACACCGTCGCTGGTCGGGGAAGCCCAAGCGCGGGCAACCGGATCTCTTTGGCCGAAAGAAGGTGCCCAAATGGGCTCCTTTTTGAGCCCACCAACAGCCGAACCACTGCCGGTTTGTTTCTCTTCGTGGGCTTTTTCCCTTGGTCCGGCATCCGTCTCACCAGGTATGGCCTTTCAGACCACGCACTACAGGAGCTGCTGGGGCGCGTGGGGGTCGAGCCAGGGCAAGGTTTGGCCTTCTCAGCCGCTTGGAGATGTGATCCGTCAATAGGGTGGAAACCAGCGCGCTTTTCAGCTACTTTGCATCTCTGTCGGTTTTGGGCCTCCCTGATCTTGAGACAGCCAAGAGAAGACATCTCCCCAGATCTTTGGAAAGTGCTCCCGTACTTGTGCAAATCATTGTTATGATTTAGGAGTGAGGAGTTCTATATGACCGACAAGCCGGAAGCGTATATATATATATATATATTCAACCTTCCCCTTGTTGATCATTGGACTTGATGGTTGAAGGGTACTTGAAGCTCGACACTTGTCGAGACAGCATGGGTCATCTACACGTGGTGCGCCTCCTCGTGGACTACAAAGGCAGAAGACCCTAGAAAACCCCACCGTTCCTGAGTCAAGTGAATCACATATGTTCAGAACAGCCATCGATGGGTGACTCAGGTCAATGCGGGGTTGCTGGCTTTGCAGCTGCTCTTTGGCGGCGTGCCTGGGCAGATGAAGAAGCAAAGAGAGGGGTAGGTTGAACACGTCTAGTGAAGATCAGTAGGTGAGTGGCCAAGATCTTTGATTTTCGAAGAAGGTAGTGTTGAGGAAGATAGAAATAGATAAGTAGGTCCAGAAATTCAGGTGGATTCTTTCCCCTCAAAACGCATAAAAGCTCAGTTGCTCAGCATGTGATCCAAATGTCATTGCCCCATCTCACCCACGGAGGTCGTCATGTAGCACATGACTTGCGAAGCTTGTAGCCAGACCCTGATCAACTGTATGTTGTACAAGTACCTTAGCTTCTTGCTACTGGTAGCGATGCCCTCGGTACTATCAGCGATGCCCTTGTTACTAGTAGCCATGCCCTTGTGACTAGTAGCAATGCCCTTCTTACTAGTAGTAATGCCATCGCTATCAGTAGCAATGCCCTTGTTATTAGTAGTAGTGCCCTTGTAACTAGTAGCGATGCCCTTGGTTCTAGAAGAGATGCCCTTGATACTAGTAGCGATGCGATGCCCTTGTTACTAGGCCTTGCTACTAGTAGCGATGCCCACACCTTGTTACTAGTAAGTAGCGATGCCCTGGTTACTAGTTACTAGTAGTCATGCCCTTGTTACTAGCAGCGATGCCCTTGTACTAGTAGCGATGCCCTTGTTACTAGTAATGCCCTTGTGACTACTAGCGATGCCCTTGTTACTAGTAGTAATGCCCTTGTTACTAGTAGGGATGCCCTTGTTACTTGTAGCAAAGCCCTTGTTACCAGTGTTACTGTAGTAATGTCTTTGTTACTACTAGTAGTAGTGCCCTTGTTGTTAGTAGCGATGCCCTTGTTACTGGTAGCGATGCCCTTGTTACTAGTAGGAATGCTCGTGTTACTAGTAGCGATGCCCTTGTTATTAGTAGGTATGCCCTTGTTTCTACTAGCGATGCCCTTGTTGCTAGTAGCGATGCTCTTGTTACTAGTAGCTTCTTGTTACTAAATAGAGCCTCACAAATGACAAGCCTTTTGTGGCATTTTTGTGTTGCAAGGGGATCTGGGGGGCTTGTGGCAGTTTGAAGGTCAGCCTCAGCATGGACATGCTTTTGCTGATGCTTAGCAAGAAACTGGGAGTCGGAGTCGGAGTGTGGAGGAAGGTTGGCAACCTGCAGGAAAGAACGCACATGTGGGGGGAGTGTTTCCAGCATCCGCCAAATGTATTTTTTTAAATGTTCTTTGAATTGAGGGTGTAGACGTGGGGAGCTTTTTGTCTGTTATATACATGAGCTCACTCGAAAAGGACCGTCGCCGAAGAGGCTGGCCAAATGGGAGCTGATGCAGTGTGCGTGGTGCATCCATGTTCTACCGTCTACGTTCCTTAGGGGCAGACCTCCATAGATCCCCCCGGAGTGGAAGTGCATTCTCCGGCGCACAGGGCGGTGAAAGGAACCGGGGGCATCCCAGTCTGGTGCTTCTCTGGGCGTTTTCCGCCTGAGGAATGCCTTCGATTCGTGGCTCCCGGCACCCTTGTCCTTGACACGTGCAGCTGTCTTCCTGGAGAGGACCTTGGAGCCAGGAGGGGTTGAAGGGTCTATTTCAAGGAGTTTCCATATGCAAAGATCGCTAGAATAGATGAGGGCTGAGGGAAGATCAGAAAGTTTACAACCCCTACCGGGGCGAACCCGACAAATCTGGCAGGGGGCATGGGACAGGCTGATTTCAGAAATCTCACAGTTTTTCACGATGGGTCCCTTCGCTTGCGTGTGTCCACAGCCGCACGGGACCACTCCCTTAAACCCAAGAGATAGGTGTTCCGTGCCATTCAATAGTCATTTACAAGTCTTCAACAGAAAGATGTCCCAATGCTTGTTCCAAGAGGATGTATGTATATACTCGTCCATATACCTATAGAGGTAGGCCTGGATCCAAGTGGAAACATGGCTGGACCTTCCGGCAGTTTTTAGGTGCATGTTTGCGCACTTAGGTTTAGGTATTTGTGCAGAGTTTTCAGTTTCGACATTTAGCTGTTCAGGCTTCCCTTTTGCTTTTGTCTCCGGCGTGGAGATTACAGGAGCAATCCCGACACAAGTTCCCCACTTCTCGGCGATTTTTTTGGTTTCAGAAGTCAGATCATCTCTTAATCCCTCCCTCCACGTCCACGTGGTTGGTGAAACGCGCTGCAGACGTGGCTCCTCCTCCGGACGTCCTTGAAGAGGAGGACTTTGACAAGTCTTGGACGCCTCGTTCGCACACCGATCGCGGCGACAGCCTCACCACGGCACCATGGCGATGAATGCTGGATGGGTTTTATACTTGGAATGAGTAATTCACCCCGATCCAAGGGCCTGCAGCTTCTGGTAAGTTGAAATGGAGTGGAGAGGAGCAATGGTTTTGCTTGGCTGTTTGATGTCGCCTGTGGCTTAGGTGATTGCCTCCTATGCAGCTCCACGGTCTCTCCCCAAAGGCT